GCGGCCTTCATCACCAGACCACAGGCTAGCCCTAACCTGTACTTTAATTCTATCTTCGAAGTCCTCTCACACTAGGTATGCCATCTCTGAAGAGAGGGAGTCACTCCTCATGGACAACCCAGGTACCCACCTCGCTGGGTCCCGCTGCACTCCTCTGCATGGGGCCGTCATCCCTCCCTGTAACTGCACGCAGTGCCAGGAAGGTGCCGATGCCCCACAGAGGTCTCCTGTACCAGGAGGGGCCTCCCAACCCACTCCAGCCTGACCCGCTTTGTTCCTCTGCCCTGACCCCACTGAACCCTGAAGGTGGGAACGACGTTTGGAGCAGTGTGTGATGATCTGGCCCTCAAGGGGGGCCCTACAAGCACAAGAACACACCGTGAGCCCCCGTGCTCTGTGAGAAGTGAAGGGATCATCTGAGGAGTTGGTGTCGGGGGTCTTGGCCTCACCACCCACGCCCCGCCCCGGCAAGGCCTCAACTGTGAGCAAAGGCCAAGAAGACTGAAATTCAAATGCAGAACAGGACTGGCAGGTGGTATGGTGGTTAAGGCACTGGACTCCCACATGGCCAACTGCGGTCTGAGTTTCAGACCTGGCAGCTTGCTTTCTTACTTTCCCTTTCTTTTTGAGTCTCTCTGTTCAAATTGAAAAAAAAAAATGATGGGGAACCAGCAGTTAGCGTAATGGCTATGTCGCTGGATTCCCACGTAGTCGACCGCGGTTCGTGTCCCGGACCCGGTGGCTTAAAACTCACGCCGGGCGCATGTGCGTGCGTGCCCAAGATCCCGAGAGGAGAATGGAGGAGAAGGGATTGCGGCGTGACCATCCCCCCTGGGGGTGATTTCTCGCTTTCTGTCTCTATGTCTCTCTCTGTCTGTCTGGCGAGCGCACGCGCCCTACAGTGAAAATCTCTCCAAAAAAAAATGATGATGAATAAAATTACATAAAATAATTATAAATAAAAAGGGGGGGGCAGCCAGCAGGTGGCATGGTAATTAGGGGCAATGCACTCCCACATGGCCAACCGCAGTTCAAGTCCCGGACCTGGCGGCTTGCTTTTTCACTTTCCCTCTCTCTCTCTTGCTCTGTCCCTCTCTGGTCAAATTAAAATAAATAAATAAATAAATAAAGTTAAATAAAAATAATTCTTAAAAAATTTTTTAAAACAAACAGAACAGAATATGCAAGACAAGAAACGTGCCAGCTGTGTGATAGGACACAAGCAGAACAGAAGGATGGGGTGGAAGCAACAGTCGAAACAGTAATAATCAAGAATCTCCCCAAGGTAACATCAGACACCAAACCTGAATCCAGGAAGTTCAGACAAAGTAACCAGGCAAATGCCAAAAACAAAGCACAAGCAAACACACAACGTAGTGCCCGAGGTAAACCATGCTCAAAAAGTCCAAGATAATCAGAAAATACTCAGAAAATCTAAGATAAAGAAAAATTGTTGGCCCACCCAGGAGCGGCAAGGGGCAGGCCTTTCAAAGAAGACTCTTCCCTGGCTCCTGAGAACTAGTGATTTCAGGAAAAAAAGAGAAATGAAGAGCTCTTACTGATAATTCAGCCTCCAGCCCACAAACTCAAGTGACAGGGAGCCCCTCTAGCCTTCTCTCTGTCACTGTCTCTGTCTCTGTCTTCTCTCTCTTTTTTTTTTTGTAATTTTTCCTTTTTAAAAGTATTCTCTGAGCTTCCAATCCCTCCTTTGTCTTGCTAATAATCCCCTTTCCTCCACCCATCCAGGAGAGGCAAGAGGCAGACCTTCAGAAGAAGACTCCTCCATGGCTCCTGAAAACAAGCGATTTTTTTATGTTTTGCTTTTTTAAAAAAAATATTTTTTTTAATTTTATTCCTTCTTTTTCTCTCTGTTTCTTTGTTTTTGTTTGTTTCTCTCTCTCTGTCTCTCTCTCTGTGTGTGTTTCCTTTTCTTTTCCTTTTATCTTATCACTCTGCTCAATCTCCATTCTCCGTGTTTCTAGATGGATCTAAGGGAACCATAGCCAAACATTCAAATATTGTTAAGGTTAGCATATTCCTCAATATCCACTGAATCTGCTGCACAAAGGGATAAAAACGAAACAGCAAAGATATTCCAGATCACCTCCTTCTGCATGCTCCTGAATGCTCAGACTGAACTTCAAGAGTTAGAAAGAGGAACCAGCAGTTAGTGTAATGGCTATGTCGTAGGACTCCCATGTAGTCGACTGTGGTTCGCATCCCGGACCCAGTGGCTTAAACTCACACCAGGCATGTGTAGGTGCGTGCCCAAGATCCCGAGAGGAGAATGGAGGAGAGGGGATTGCGGTGTGACCACGCCCTGGGGGGTGATTTCTCATTTTTTGTCTCTCTGTCTCTCTCTGTCTTTCTGACGAGCGTACACACCCTATAGCAAAAAATTTAAAAATAAAAAAAAAAGAGTTAGAAAGAAACACACAATCACAGAACTAAAAATCACCACAGAGCCACAAGAAATATGGGAAAGCAAGAAAATACCTCTCCTCCAAGGGAAAAGAATAAATCCTCAATCCTCTCATCCACAGACAGTTCAAGGGAAATCATGGAAATGTCTGATAAAGAATTTAGAATATTCATAATGACTAAGCTAACAGAGACGGAAGAGAACAGAGAAAATGAACTGTGGAAGAGGCAGGAGAAAGGAGCTGATGAGTTCTAGGAGGTGAGGAAATTCTTGCAAGATTTAAAAGGGGAATTACACACTTTAAAAAAGAATCAAATGGACCTGTTAGAAATGAAGTCTATAATACAGGCAGTCAAAATCTCCCTTGAAAGTATTAAAAGCAGACTAGATCATACAGAAAATAGAATCTCAGACGTAGAAGAGAACATTGCTGGCCTAGAAAAATCCACCAGAAAGAAAGACTGAGAAAATTGTCCAAAAAATGAGAATAATATACAAGAAATACTAGATACCATAAAATGTCCAAACATCTGGATAATTGGTATTCCAGAAGGTGAAGAGACTCATAAGGGCATGGATAATCTATTCCATGAAATCCCACAAGAAAACTTTCTAAACCTAGAGAGGCACTCCAAGTTCCAGTCCCAAGAAATACAAAGGACCCCAAATAGAATCAACCCAAGATCTTCTCCAAGACACATTATAGGCAGGTTGAACGAAACCACAGACAATGACAAGATGGCAAGTTACCTACAAAGGATATCCCATGAGGCTAACAGCTGACCTCTCATCGGAAACTATGTGAGCGAGGAAAGAATGGGAAAATATTCAAAGTGTTAAGGGAAAAGCAATTTTAACCAAAAATATTGTATCCGGCAGGATTATCCTTCATATGGGAAGAAAAGATAAGAACGTTCTCCGATAAACAAAACCTGAAAGAATTTACCAACACCAGATCAGATCTCCAAGAAGTTCTCAGGGGAGTGCTGCCCCAGGAAAATTAAATACAGACACAAAGAAATAAGAGTTTGAAAACTAAGAAAATGGCCAGCTTAATCGTAGGGACAAGTCTGGAGTTGAATATTATATCCCAGAAACCATGAATACAGAAGAGAATAAATATTTAAATATCTAAAATGTTTGAAGATAAAAAAAAGTACCAATCTAGAATTTAGTAACTTGTGAAATGATCCTTCAAGTACTTTCTCAAATGAACAAACATTAAGATCAGGAGTAAGCCAAGGATGGCCCCACTGCGTTTTAACCTCACTCCACAGTCGACGGGTGTGGAGCCACAGGAGCTGTGCCCACGCTGCTGGGATTGCAGACGGGTGGTCGTATCGGAGGCAGCGTGGCAATTTCCCATGGAGATTAACGTACTGTCAGACACAAGCCACTCTCCATGACCTTGACGCTGCCTAGTAATCAGTGTGTGCCCCTTGAATCAATACGAGGGTACTTCAAAAAGTTCGTGGAAAAATGAAATTAAAGTATGAGTTTATTGTATTTTGTTGCTAAACATTTGGAAATCCATATAGAGCTTTTCTCTGATCTTCTTTCTTTCCTTTTTAGTTTATGCTCTGGGGCACATGCATTCACTAGCGAGAGAGAGGAGCGAGCGAGAGAGAGCGAGTGATCAACCCTCACAGGGGCGGCCACATCACAGCCCATTCTCTTCTCCTTGCAGGACTTTGGGCATGTACACACATGCTCCAATATTTCTTCAAACTACCTGGGCCAAGACTAGAACCACACAGTCAGCTATTTGGGTTCCAGTCACCTTAACCACCATGCCCACCTGGCTGGCCCATATAGCTTTTTTAAATATGCATTCTTTATGATCTTCTTGAAAACCCATGTTGGGCCAGCAGATGGAGGAACGGTTACGTTGTTGGACTCCCACGTAGTCGACCATGGTTCAAGTCCTGGACCCAGCAGCTTAAAACTCATACTGGGCACATGTGCATGCACACCCAAAATCCTGAGAAGAGACAGAGGAGAAGGGATTGAGACAAGGCCATCCCCCTGTAGGGTGATTTCTCATTTTCTGTCTGTCTGTCTCTCTGTCTCTCTGTCTCTCTGGTGAGCGCATGTGTCCTATAGCAAAAACCTCTCTTAAAAAAAAAAAGAAATAGAAAACCCTCACGAGTGGATGAATGAATGCTTCTGCTGTGACTTTCTCAGCCAGGTTCTCCTCCATAAAATATTACCCAAAGCTGTTTCCATCAATACAGGACATCTGTAGATTTGATCTGTTAGCAGAAATTTGCCATACTCAACATTAAAAATGCAATACATGTTTCTGAATTCATAATGTTCATATCTATGTTTTTATCAAAATATCAATAGAAAAAGATGGTAGAATAAAAATGTTTGAGAACCTTCCTAACTGCCTACAGCAAAGGTCAAATGTTTAAATAGCTTAACCAACACGAAGCCCATCGGCCCTGGCTCCTCACAGAGGCAAAGGGCAGAAGGAAGGAGCCTGCCCTGCCCTCTGGGCCTTCCCGAGGCAGCTCCCTGGGCTCCCGCCCTGAAAACGCCAACATCGGAAAGTCTTTGTTCCAGACTTGTACACATGCCCGCCTTCGGCCTCCCCAAAGTCAGGGAACGCGAGGGTGCCAGGAAGCCCGGGCAGCGCCGAGCTGGCCTCCTGGGCGGGCTGCGGGACGCCCCCCGCGGCTCTGCCCTGTCCCGCCCCAGGCTCCGCGCCAAGCTGCCCGCGCGTCCTGCCCTGCCCGGCAGTCCCGCGTCCACGCCGCCCACCCTGAGTGTGCCCTGGCCAGCGTTTGGCGTCCTCCGACCGACGGCCGCGGCCGCACTCTCCGAGCTGGGCGGGGCGACCCTGCATCTTAAGCAGCTGTGGCTGGTACAGGAAAGCCCGGCCTGCGCGGTGACATCCGCTGGTGCCCG